CACACCTTGTGTTGGGAAAGCCTAAGGGTGACAAACACAACCCAAACAACCCCAGGGGAGTGTTAAGGAATGGCACATGTTCAGTCTCAGAAATGCTGTGGTGGTGGGACACCTTTCCAGCACTGGTCCAGCTCACTGGAGGGATGAATTGTAGCACAGCAGGTTTGCTGAAGATACAGTGCCAAAATAACTGACAATATAAAAGGGCAACATTCCTTTGCTGCTGCTCTTGAATTGTGCTAGCAATGAAATCGGACCAAACAAGTTAACTGGCCTTGTAAAGAATGTAAAATTAGCTCTAATCTCGTGTCCTGCACAATAATGCACTTCAGCCTCTGGAGGCACTGATGGCGTGTGTATTTTGTGGTTGACAGCAGCTTCAATGTAGACCAGTTTATATAAATTAGTGGCTTTATCTGATTTTGCGGTGGTCAAAAGCATAACTCTTACTCACTGGTGTTATGGTGAAAGTCGGGATTTGGCCCTGCAGTCGGGACTGGGGCTTTTGGAACGCAGGTCTCTGTTAGAAAGCCTTGTTTTAGCCCGTCAGCGGCAAAACCCTTCCCCGGGACTCCCCTCCGACCTCGGGGCACGTCTCATTAGCAGATTAAGCCCGGAGTTAAACGAGTCCTCTGGGAGCGGAGGATGCTGCGCCTGCCCCTCCAGCTGAAACGATTTTCCCAAGGTCAGATAAGGAGCTCTGTGACTCGGATCTGGAGATAAGGTTTGTTTTGCAAAAATCCGCTCATGAATAAATCCTGGGAAAAATCTGCACCCAGTGTGATGTCACAGCCCTCGCCTACTTTAAAGTTCATTAAGAGGAGGGCGTGTTGAGTTCCTCTGTCATCATAAATCTCTTCTTCCCTGTGTCCAGTGGCAGGAATCCTGCCCTGCTGCCTCCAGCAGCCTGGGGCGGCAGGGATTGCTTTCCCATTCCACCTGCCTTCCCTGCCCGTGCCAGCCCGGGGTCAGGCGGAGGTAAGCGCGGGCTGGAAGCCTCGCAGCGGGATTATCCTCCCCCCCGGGCTCCTGCCCTCGCCAATTTTCTGGTCAGTAACTCTCTGAAAGGAGAGCGTGTCTGTGCGCCCGGGAGGGGCAGCCAGGGGAGGATGATGAGAGATGAAGGGGAGAAGAAACAGGGGCTGGATTCTTTCCAGGACGGAAAAGTGTCTGTCCAAGAGTTTATCCAAAACATAAATTAAATATTCCTCTATCCACCATTAAGTTCCCGTGAATGGGTGGCTGTGCAGCATCCTGACACGCCGGGGAGTCAGGAAAACCATGTCTCTCTTCTCCTTCATTCCTCTGAGTTTTCCTCTGTCCAGACAGGAACTTCTGAGTCTGTTGGAGTCATTCTGTCCAGGACTCAGCCCCCAGTTGGGACACACTTATTGCCAATTTAGAATTAAACTTAAAAAGGGAAGGGGACACGGAGCAGACTCGGAGGCCCACGTCTCATTTTGAAAACTGTGCTTCCCAGTAAAATGGACCATTTCCTAAACTGCAGACCTGGACTCCTCATGAATGGAGAGCCCTCGAATCCCAGCTAGGGCAGGGTGAGGGGAAATGATGCCTTTCTTGACGTTGATTGAGCAAAGATTAAAATTCCTGCTTGCATCCAAAGGGCAGTGAAGAGCCAAGAGCTCACAGGGCAGCAGCAGAACACAGGCCTGGGCCCACAGTCGCTCCTCAAGTCCACAGGGAGCAGAAGGATTTGTTCAGGAGCACTGAGAACATGGATAATTATCCCTGATTTGCACAAATTGCAGAAGGTGAATGCAGGCGAGCAGAGGAGGACTGATGGGTTTGTAGAAAATCAGGAGGCAATAGGAGAGTAAGGACCTAGAAAACATCAGTGAAACTGCTGCAAACAAGAGAAGGAGAGCACAGAAAGACTAAGCCAAAGCTCTCTGCAAAGATGTTCAGGAGCAACAGAAGCCTCAACTGTGAGGCAAATGCAGCAACTCCAGTCTGGTCTCATTGTAAGATGTGGTGTCCTGGGAGGCAGGAGGGAAGCCTGTGCCAATTCCATCTGGCCAGATGGAAGAGAGAAATTGAGTCTCATTTGATCTCGTAGGAGCAGTCAAGCCTGAATTTGGACCAAAAGCACGTTGTACTGAGTTCTGGGTTTTATCCATCTGTAAAAAGTAGCAGAAACGACAGCAGGAGCCCTCACTTCCCACTGGGTCATCGGGGAACTTTCACCTCTCACGGAAGAATGGTCTTTTATTTACTGCTTTTCTCTTGTGCAGGCTGGAGCCTTCACCTAAGTGTGAACGGTATCAGGGACACGAAAACTTCCCATGGAAGAAAATCAGTGCTGAAATTAATGTTGTCAGCAGGATAACCAGCAAATTCTGCCTTCCCCAGATGGCCCAGATTTTAACGGGGTCACCTTGCAAGACTTGCCTGTAGGATATTAAGGGTCCCAAAGAAACTGTTGGGGCATAAAAAAATATTATATCCAAGAGTTGCATCACAGACAGATGTTTTTTGACAGGTCATCCTTTGCTTAACTGTTCTTCCATGTACATTTCCTGACATCCAATGCATCAGTGGCAGCTCTTGGGAGTAGGAGGCTCTGAGGATGTTTGAAACAGATTAAAGAGAAGAGTGAGGGATCTACTTTTCATTTTGCAATAGCAGTGTGAAGCCCTGGAGTGCTGGGGATGTGAGGGCAGTTTCTTGCCTTACTCCCCTCATCTGACACCTTATTTCTCTTCCCCTTTTCTTTTTCCCTTCCATCACTCTTCAGTGAATCACTTAATTTTTTAGTGTCTGCATTGACTGATCCAGCCCTGCAAAGAGGCTGAAGGTCACCCTGATACAAACCCTGTGGGCATCAAACTTGATGTTTACAGTTGACCTCTGTAGTGTTTTTTTCTCCCCTTTCCACAGAGCTGTAGATTGTGAAAGAGGCAGCAAGTGCCCCCGTGCTGATGGTTGAACGGTATTTTGTAAAGATTTCCTGAAAGCTTGTGAAATTTCTCACATGTTCTTGATTTCCCTTCTGCAAGTCTGCAGAGTGTGCATAAAAAATATCCCTCAGTCTAGCCCCGAGTTCAGAAGTGAGTAAATAGCCAGGAGTTTTACAAGCTTTGTGTAGATGCCAAGCCCTGATGGCCAAGGGTGATACACGGAGGCTTTCGAGGCCGAGCTGCAGTTTCAGCCATGTGCTTTCCTCCACTTCGAGAGTCTGATCACAGCTTTTGCCTTGAAAATTACTTCCCCCGAGATAAGATTTCCCACGAAATGGCTCTGGCATATTTATGCATGCTCTGAAGTTGCTGGTTAACCAGCCAGTTGGAGAGTTTGTGGGATATAAATCCGTCAGTCGGGGTGTGTTTGTGTTCACAGATGTGCCAATGGCTTAGAAATGGGATTAATTGTAACTGTAACTCGTTTAGGAAATGGCTGAGGACTTGGGTGCCTCTGCATTTTAGCCTTGCTTAGGCACAGGAAGAGCTCTTTGACCCTGCCAGAGATTAGTTTTAGTACCAGTTATGAGATAAGCTTAACTAGTCCTTAAAAATAAGCATGTTAAGCTCTGCAAGGGGTTTGTTGTGGGGAAGGAATACTGCACACATAATAACTAATTTTTTTCTGTTTATCTTGCTGTTATTAAGTTAATTGCAGGGGTTGAGTTATGAGTAGTGATGTAATTTAGACTTTTTGCTTCCTGTTCTTTCAACTTTCGGAAAGCTCAAAAGATTATTTCATCTTTAAAGTTTAAGTGGGCTTATTTTTAACCATTAAAAATCAATATATCAGGTTCATATTCAATACACAGCGGTGTGAGAATCAACTGGATCGCATATGCTTGGAAACAGCAATAATTTTGCATTTGCAATGTAACAACCTTTTATTTTTTCTCTTTTGGATCTTGCTGTTGGAACCACAGAGCAATCAGCTGATGAACATATTCAGTTCACTAATTTAATTTTTGCAGAATGACAATGACACCATTCATAATGTGATGAATGCTCAGAAGACTTAGTTGAAGAGCAAAAATGATAGATTGATTCATATATAGGAGTCTTAGGTAACAGAGAGATGAAATTATACCTTCCAGTAGCCTTAAAAGAAATAGAAAAAAGGTATTGTGGTTGAATCTGTTTACTGCAGGTTAATGTTTGAAAGACAGTGGTGAAAGCACAATCTCATACTTGAGACTGATGTCTCACTAGGAAAAATGAGACTGGATAAAACCCCGTGATTTTTAATGACTTTTCAAGTTATTTCTATTTCTGACCTCCCTGATGGTGTAGAAATGCAGATGGGGTGGGCTGGTTATGTCTCATTATACATCAAATCCCTGCTCCATGATTTTAATGTTTGTTCCATGAATATTCAGAATTTCCTTTGTACCAGAAGCAGGGTATCATTTTTGCTGTGTTAAAAGCGAGTGGCAGGTGAAACCTTCCATATATGAGCAAAATAAATTCATGCTTGAGAATTCTCCCTTTAAAAGTCTGTATTAGGATGAACACTTTATTGCACCTGGGACACCAACCTGAAATCAGCACTGCAAGTTATTACATATAATAGGCTGAAAAAATATGTTTTACTGCACCAAACATAGAACAAATAGAGAACACACCAGATATACAGGAAGGTCTGTGATTTTGGACTAAATTTACATTTTTGTATGTGTGCATAGCAAAAGCAGGGACAGATTTGAAATTACATGATACAGAAAATTTGCCAAGTGTTTCATATATTGGTCATTTTAGGCTGAAGATCTGGGGTTTTGTGTGAGCTCATGTAGCTTGTGAAGAACCTGTAAAAAGAGGATCAGCAGTGGGATGCAGGAACCACTGAGACACTCCTGTCCCTTCCCCAGGGAACAGAAAATCATTGCTAGTCTTAAATGAAGCAAAACTACAGTGAAAACACATCAAAGGTTTTCATGGAACTGTTGAAGTCAGAAGCAGGTTTTGATTATTTCGGATTCGAAGCAGAAGCAGCTCAACTCTAACAATCAAAGTTTCTTGCTACAGATCATCCTGTGGGGTCGGACTGAGAAGTGCCTGAAGGAGACCACGGAGGAGATCAGGCTGATGGGCACAGAGTGCCACTACTTCATCTGTGACGTGGGGAACAGGGAGGAGGTCTATCGGCAGGCCAAGGCCGTCAGGGAGAAGGTCAGTGGGGAAACCCCGTGGGCAGGATGGGGAAGGAGCAGCTGAGGGAGCTGGGGGGGCTCAGCCTGGAAAAAAGGAGGCTGGGGGGGGACCTTCTCACTCTCTGCAACTCCCTGACAGGAGGGGGGATCCAGGGAGGGCTCTGCTCCCAGGGAACAGTGACAGGATGAGAAGAAATGGCCTCGAGTTGCACCAAGGGAGGTTTAGGTTGGATATGGGGGAAAACTCCTACATGGAAGTATTAAGCTTGTAAAGCCCTGGTAGAGGCCACCCAGGGAAGTGGTGGAGGCACCATCCCTGGGAGTGTTCAGAAACATGGGGATGGGGCACTTGAGGACATGGTTTAATGGTGCTGGGTTGCTTGTTGGACTTGATCCTAAAGGTCTTTTCCAACCTTAATGATTCTGTGATTCTACTAATCTATATTTGATGAGGGGAAAAAAATATTGGGGAAGAAAGAAGGGTGACCATCCAGATTGTTGTACAAAGTCTAGCCACCTGTTTGAAGTGATCCAAAGGCTTACAAGGCAAGAATGTCAAAAGCTATGAAAACAACAATGTATTCAGACCACAGTGGCTATTCAACTCTAATGGTCACTCTGATGCCTGATTTGTGAGATGTTCGTTTTCACAAGTAATTTGCTGTTCCTGCAGGTGGGTGACATCACCATCCTGGTGAACAATGCTGCTGTGGTCCATGGGAAGAGCCTGATGGACAGCGATGATGATGCACTGCTCAAATCCCAGCACATCAACACCCTGGGACAGTTCTGGGTAAGATCAGCTCTTGTATCCCCTGTACTCACAACTGGGAAGAGAGTGACAGATTACAGCCAGAAATGGCTGCTCTGAGGTCTTCCTAAAATCAGTCTGTCACAAAAACAAGAGGGAAAAAACAATGTGAGGGGCAAAGGCCAGAGGAACAGGGTCTAAAATAAATATGATTTTTCCAGTAGTAACTCGGTATATGATGCTCTTTATTCCCATTCTGTCATTTCCAGTAAAACATTTGATGTCTTTTGAGAAAGCCTGAGCTCACAGGATGGTTTTCTGTATGGTGCTGTATAGGGAACATCAGAGGAGCATGGGATTACATTGCTCAGGGAACTCATTCTATTTTGAATTGGGCAATAGAAATGAAAAAAAGAGCTTCTTGTGGTTTCATCACTTTGCTGAAGACTTTATCCTGTACAAGTTCGTAAGCACTCCTTCCTGGCCCTTTTATCTGTGGGTGCTGCTTATTTACATGCTAGGAAAGATTCTGTTGTGTTTCCACACAAACTTTGCCTGCTTGGAGTCTCTCAGAAAATGACAAAGCAACAAGGTCCTGTCCCACTCCTTTCCCAGCGTAATGAACAGAACACTTTGGCTCTGTCTCCGTGTCATCTTATCTTCTTCAGTAACTATTGTTTTGTTGTATCTCTGCTGAACAGACCTTTTTTTTCTTTTTTTTTCCCTTTCTTTTAACTCTGTTGTTCTCCAGACCACCAAGGCATTCCTGCCAAGGATGCTGGAGCTGCAGAATGGACACATTGTCTGCCTGAACTCTGTCCTGGCCTTGTCAGCCATCCCTGGTGCCATTGACTATTGCACCTCCAAAGCCTCCTCCTTTGCCTTTATGGAGAGCCTGACCCTGGGGCTGCTGGACTGTCCTGGAGTGAATGCCACAACAGTGCTGCCCTTCCACACCAGCACAGAGATGTTCCAGGGCATGAGAATCAGGTCAGTCCAGGGGAACTAGAATAAAGCATCTCATTTTAAATGAATCATCAGAATACACTCCTAATTAATGCTTCATTTAGTTAAGAGAATTCGATGTCTCATTTGGCTGCCTGGGAACAGAGGGTCACTCTAGGCCACCTGGGACTCATCAGACTGGTTCCCTCAGTGTGCTGGAATAATCCTCCAGCCTGTTCTGAGGGAGACATTGGATTCTACAGGGAGAAATAAAGCTGTTTTTCCCTGTGCAGCCCCCAGAGAGGGAGGGGAGGGAATCTGCAATTGAGGTCATGCAAGAGGAGCAGTCTACAAATTACTTGAGAATTAACAGTACAAGTTCCTTCTTTATTCCTTGAAATAATTCTTTCCCACTGAAAGGAATGACAGCCACTTTACTGAAGTGAGGCCATCAGTGCCTCCTTTTTCCCTCTGTTCAAGAGAACAACTAATGGCTGACCAAATTAATCTTTTACAATGGACAAAATAACCTATCAGTATAGTTTGTGCTCTCTTAGTCAAGAAAATATGCTGGAGCTGGGAAAAGCCTTATGTTTGGTATTAAAAGCAATGGAGGAAAATATTTGTCTTTCACCTGTCAAGAATTTGAATTAAGCAAAGAGCAACAAAAGGAAAAACACCAGCACTGAAAAGACAGCATTTGGTATTGGTTTGCATTCAAATTAAGAAAAGCCCTGAATCAAGGCTCTGAATACATTCTGCCACTCTCCCTGAAGGCACCAACATGTACATTCTTAACTGTTTAGGTAACCCAGCAGTACTGGTTGGAACTGAGCTTTCTGTTTTCAGGCTTTTTGGCTGGAACTGGAACGTTCTACCTTTTCCAGCCTGCTTGGGATGTGTTTGAAGGCCGGTAACAAGAGACAGTTTGGAGTAACAGGACTTGGACAGTGATGTCTTAAAGGAGGAGTTTGATTAACAAGTAATTATTTTAATTTTTACTTTATTTATTCAGGTTCCCCAGCCTTTTTCCTCCCCTCAAGCCCGAGACAGTGGCGAGGAGGACGGTAGAAGCTGTTCAGACAAACCAAGCCTTCCTGCTCCTTCCATGGACAATGCATGTTCTTGTCATCCTAAAAAGGTGAGTATTTCCTTTGCCCAGCAACAGCCTGGCCAGGCAGGGAAGGTTTTCTTTTGTCTGTCCAGGAGGCAAACCTCAGGCTGACTGTAAGTGCCATCTGGGATCAGATGGATCACCCCTTCCCTTGACAGACAGAGCAACAGAAGCAGAAGGGAGACACTTTCTGAGATTCCCTTTGGAGATGCTTTCCCTGGGTATAATCCCTTTATGAAACAAGTTTCACTCCCAAAATTTGGATTTTCTGAGGTCTGAGCTGGATTTGTGTCTAGGAAGTTTCTTAACATGCACATGTGGTGAGTTTTGATTTAGTAAGTGACTCGTTGGACTCTGGGCTACATACTGTACAGGATTTCTGTGCCATAAGGTCTGTACATCACAGCTGTATGGAGAGAGCATTGCTTGTGTTACAGCAATGAAACTATTAAACCAATATTTTTGTGTATGATTAGGACGGGAATTTTAAGATCCCTAAGGAAAAAAAAGTCATAACTTCATATCCTGAAACAACCAAAGAGAAAGGACATTTAGCACTGTGTTTCCATGACAGTTTGCACTAAAGCCTTTGGAAAAGCTGCTTCAGTCAGGAACTGAAACAAGGCCGTGGGATTTCTGTGGAAAATAATTCCAGTATTGCATTTCAAACAAGAAAAAATAAGTCACAATAAATGCTTTGCTCCGAATGAAAAACTTGGGATAAAAATTCCCAGAAATTCTACCAACAAGAAAAAGGGCTGTTCTCCTTTACTGTAAGAATCAATCATTCATTTTCCGTTCCAGTAGCTGTCAGGAAATTAGATCTCTGACCATACCTTAGGATAAGGAGGCCACATGTTTTGCACAACCAGATGGCAAGTTAACCAGAGAACTCCGGTTAAATTTGTGTATTTCAGAGAACAGTATTTGAGAGGAATAAAACATGATGGTATCTTCCAAGTTACAGCCTTTACAAGACTTTTTTGGATAAATATTTCTGCAGAGAAAGAGTAACTGGATGGAACTTCCTCCCTTTCAGGCCTCCTCACAGCAGGACACCGAGGCCTGTTGGGTCTGTGTGCTCTCACCAGCTGATGTTTGGGAATGTGTGTATTTATATATGTAAATGCATATTTACACATCTCTCATTAGGGCAGACTGAGGGGTTTGTCTCATCTGCTTCTTCTCTTCCTGCTTCTCTTCCAGCATTCTCCCCCAGGCAGCACTTGAAGAAATCCACAAGTTTTCCGGGAGCTACACCTGCATGAACACTTTCAAAGGAAGAACATAGAGCTGGTGGCACAGGGACTGTTCCTCAGAGAGCCCCACACGAGCACGGAACCCCTGACAGGACTGGGAATCAGCAGCCTTGGCTTTTAGCCTGTTCATGTGACTCGTGCTGCTCCGAGGCAGCGCATTTCTTGCAGGTCATATCCATAGTAACGTGACCTTTGCACGGGATCGAGTGGCTGGACTGCGGACCCTTGGAAAGGAAAAAAAAAAACAAAAAAAAACCAAAACGTGTGAAATGTTTCTATGATGTTTAATTCTTTAGAGTTCAATTGTTAAATCTGCTCATAGTTTTAAGATGTAATTTTTGTTTCTGGAGTGTCTGTGGGCTGTCCCCAGTGGAGAGGCAGCACTTCCCATCCCAAACACACTTTGTCCCCTCTCTTCAGAGGAAGTGCCACTGGTTTCATTTCTGCTTTTTGAAAGGGGAACTGAAAAAGTACTTTGAGGAACTAAAAGTTATGGACATTTAATGGAAGTTTCTCTCCCTTCCTTTGCTTTCCATCCCTTCCTTCACTTTCCATTCCATGATGAAGCTGTTCCCAGCATACACTGGGCAAGGAGCAAACCTTGGAGCAGTGTTTTCTTTGCTAAAGGCCACCCAGGACTTCTGTCTGGAGGGACTGAGCTGGGCCCAAAAAAAGCTGTTGTACTTCACCTGTGGAGGCTGGACAGGAAGGCTCAGGCAGCAGAGCAGTTCAAATAGTGGAAGATTCTTTCTGTCACTGAACTCATATATGAAATTTGTCGTTCTGAATTTTTTTGTTCATTTGTGATCGACTATAAATACATTTTTAGCATTAATCTCAGGTTGCCACACATGTAGGCAGCAGCACATGGGGATGAACTAAATCTAGAACTAAAACTAGAGCCTGCTTGTACAAACACACATTCACTGACATAATCCATGCAGAGGAAAACCCATTGTATCAGTCTGCACAGTGAGGTGGAATAACGCTCTAAAAATAGAAGAGACTGTACTGTAGAGCTCATGAAAGTGAAGTTTGGAAGCACAGTTAGCAAAGACCTGATTAAATGCACGTTGAATTCAACTGGGAATTTACCCATTGTGTTTTAGGGGCATTGAAATAGGCACTGATCAGCCAAAAGTGATAAATATGCTTGGACTGAGATGCCAGAGCAGCCAGACACTATTTATTTTTGTAATGATATATTCTCTGTGACAGCCTCGGAAGGGCAACATTCCTGTGCCAGATGCAGCACTAGGCATAGGAACCTGGTGAGAACATACTGGAACACTGCTAACAGAGGAATTAATGGAATTGCAATGCAGGGAAATAGCAAGCCTAACTGGAGACACCTGAATGAAGTGCCTCAAGGAAGGACATGTGATTAAAGGAGTGAATTTAGGGCTCCTGACTCGAATTTCGAGCTTTTCCATAGATGTCCTGTGTGACCTGAGGCGAAATGCATCATCTGAAGGAGCACCCTGACCTGCAAAGCAGATATTTCTAGTGTTTCCCTACCTCAAAAGTTGAAAGTTTGGCTACCTAAATGTCTGTCAAAAGCTCAGCAAATTCAAATGCAACATGCTACAGAAAGGAAAAGCAGTATTTGTTCACGAACCAAGAGGTTCTATATGAAAATTTAGACAAGGAAAAAAACCATATGCCAAAATATATAATTTCCTAAAAGAGATCTGAGTTACAGCAGAAAAGCTGTGAGCTGTATTTGAAATATTCCTTTGGTCCTGCCATGTAGAATGGAGACTGCTGAGGTGCCAAGGTGGGAATGTTGAAATCAGAAGGTCTGACCTCGCTGCAGACCAGCAGATTTCTCTCTCCTGGAGCAGTTCTAGAGGAAGATGCTGCCAGAAGTGCCACTGGTGCAGGTCCCTCTGCCTGGGTCAGTGCAGAGCTGTAGCACTGTGCCAGCTCTGACCAGGTTTCTTACATTGCAGTTTTCTTTGGAATTCCTGGATGTCTGAGGCTCTCTGGAGAGGATGAAAAGAAGCTTTGTGGTTTTGAGGCCCACCTCAATAGTTGCTTTCAGCTTTATTTTTGTGAGTTTTTTGAGAAGGAACTCTATTCATTGAAAACACAAGTGCCATGAGGGGAGAACCCTTCCGGGATCTAAAGGTCCCAGATTTATCCAGAGAGGCTTGGGAGGGGAGGGGATGATGATTCCAACCTCCCCTGGTGCACTCTGATCCTTTCCAGTTCCTCAGTAATCCCGGTCAGGTGTTCCAGGCTTGTGGCTGTAAGAGCAAATAGCCCTGGTGAAAGAGCAGTGCCCCCCTGAAATGAAACCTCTCTGCTGAGATTCTGCTCATTGGTAAATTTCTAATGCAAAAGTGAGGTAAAAACACACATTGAAATCCCCGTTCACCCCCAAATCCTGTCCCTTGGATGGATCTGCTCTTTCCCTGCACCACACAAAAGATGTTCCCAATCTTTGGGGTCCGTCTGACACACTCAGTGCTGTTGATTTCTTTCTAATGAACATAAACAAGTCAGAAGGGAGCTGAGACTCATCATCTTGCTCCTCTCATCCTCACACACACAAACTTCCCTCTCTCTCTCCCCTCAGGGTCCCGGAGCGGCCAGCGGGTCAAATAGCAGTCACAGTGGGGGGAGAGGTATGCAGCAAACAGGGAATAATGAGGAAAACATTGACTTTGCTTTTCAGATAGTCAGGAAGAGCTGGGGAAGAAAGTTCCTTCCCTTGGGAGCGTTGCGAGGTAGGAAGCTCTCGCTGGCAAACAGGGATGGATGCACTGGAAGAGGTTTTTTTTAATAGAAAGGCTCCTCTGGAATGCCTGCTGGGCTCTGCTGTCCCTTCCACATAAGGTTAGTGTTGGGTAATCCCAAAGTGCTGCAAATGTGGACAAGCTTTGTTGAAGCCTAAGGCCTTCTCAAAGGAATTTCCGCCCTTTGACTTATTTTAATTTTGGTTTTCCCCTCTCCCTGCACTGCCTCCTGCTCTCCTCTGCACAGTTATTTTCTTCCCTTCTGTTTTCCTCTGTCATTGCTGCACTTTTCCATGCCACCATCTTGAGGCCAGATGTCATCCAAGAGTCTGGAGTAAATCGGGATCGGGGTGCACGTTTATTATCTGGGTGAAGCTGTAGGAGAAGGTCACAGCAGTTTCATAGGAAATTAGTTTGACTTGCTCCAAACTATGAAGAAATAAAAGGGTCCTTCCTATCGCCTTTGTACAGCAGATTGCTGCTGGTTTAATATTTGAATGCTAGAGAAATGTGAGCTGTTTTGGGACATGTTCCCCTGACATAAAAAGGCCCTATTTAAATGGGAGGATTTTTCAGTTCCAGGTGGTTTCAGAGGGTGGTGTTTATACAAAGTAATTTTCAGAATTAGCAAGGCAGGGCAGGGAGAGGAGGAGTCCTTTGTGAGGGAATCCGATCCCTCCTGTTCAATATTTCATGTGGTGGTTTTTGATGAGAAAAAAAATGCAGCCTCATGCACCACTGGTGAACTTTAAAAAGGTCCTTCCAGCCATATTCCTGCTGATGGCATGTTTTTAGCAGGATGATAAAAAGGAGTGAGCCCTGAAAGTGGGAACTTCACCCTACCCACTCATCCATTGTTCTGTCGAGGTTAAAAAGCAACAGAGTCCATCCCTCTAGTTCTTCTAGAACTGCACAGAAAGTGCCTGGGCAAGTGATTCTGATGTTTGCAAAGAGAAACTTGTTGTACTTTTATGTAATGTGTTAATTAGTGTGGGTGGGTATGATCAGATCTAGTCTTGCAAGCCTTTCCGACAACTCCCTGAACACTCCCACCTTCAGATATTAACAGATAGCACTGCACTTGCCAAGGCTCATAAAAACCCAGTAACAGACTTAATGCAGGCAGAGCAGAAGTGGGTGCATTTATTTCAAAGAGAACACATGTGCCTGTAGCAGACATTAACGTGGCCTGGTGCTTTCCTCGAGCTGAAATGCAACTGTTGAGGGAAGAGCACAGGGTGACCTTGGATCCTCTCCTTTGGTTTTATTTCTTCACGTGGCTTTAATAAACTTAATCTGGGCAACAGCCACTTTTTTGACAGCACTTGTTCCTAAGTTTGGGGTAAGGCAAGATTCTGTCAAATGCAGTCTTTTGCATTTTTCGCCAAACAACCACCAGCCCTGAGGAACAGAATATTCTGCACTGTTTGTAGCTCTCACCTCCCCGGCACTCAGATCCTCCAGCCTGGTGTGTTTGGAGACTGAGCAAACCTGTCAGTCACCAGCAGCAGTTCCACTCTCTAGGGAACAGGATCCTCTTTGTCCAAGTGCCTTTCTGAAGGAGATGTTGTGAGTAGTGGCAGCCACAGATTCAGTAACATGAGGAAAAACAGAACTTCACCTTCTCCCTTGCTGCTCATTGTCTTTTATCCAGTGTTTCCTGTGGGAAGCTGGCAGTTCAGACACTTCTTGCCCCCCTTCCCATCCTTTATTCTACTGAAGTCACCTCAGCACCTTTCTTCAGTCCCTTCAGGGAGCTGTCAGCTTCAACACAAACAACGCTGTCTGTCAGCTCGAGGAGTCAGATCAGCAGGGAACGTGTGAGATGAGACCAGAGCCTGTTCTGGTGGAGCTGCCCCAGCCTGCAGACCACCTGTGGGAGACACAGGACACAACCTGAATGTCCCCTGTATCATGGAAGGCAGCGAGTTCCCCCTGTTCCTGTCACCTTTCCTTTAAACATAACACCCTCTCTTGTTCTTGGAACAGATCCCTCGAGCAGAAACACACACTGACCCAGCCTGCCTGGACTGGATACAGCGGAAAATCACAGACCTCTGAGGAGACAATTTACATCTTCACACCTTCCCAAAGAGTCAAAATTACTAGTTCTTATGCTCACCTTAGCTCTGGGCAGTGTGACATACTAATGCAGAAAAACAATCAAGGCAAATACATGTGCTGATTTTTTTAAGCATAAATCTAGAAAGGAACACTTCCTCCTTAAATGAGGGAAGAAAGCACTCTAACTGGAGCTGGGGAGTGATGAAGAGTAAGTATATGAGAAAACAAAACAGAGGATAGATGCAATCTTAGGGGGAGTGAGATGGCCCTAAACAGGGAGACGCCACCTTACATTCCTGAAGTTACATAATAATAGAGGCCTGTGATTTCCATCCAAATGCAGAGTCTATAAAAGAAGTGTGTTGTTACTCCTGCTCATTCCAAGGGGTCACCATGCCCTAAAAAGCAGACCATTCCCTTTGTGCCTTGCTGGCTCAGAACACCCCAATACACTGGTTCCTGGTGGCTGCCTCTTGTTTTTTTTTGAGGGAGGGAAAGCAGCCCAAACATGGAAAAACAAGGAAGGGTCACTTTGACTCACCACTCACTTTTTCCTAACCAGCTGCAAGGGCCATCCATCATGCCCTCGTTTTACAAGGACATGTGGTTCTCTGGCTTGTGTTAGTAATTGTCCTGACCTGGTGCTACTAGGTAGAAGTGGTTCTATTTTCTACTTTTTTTCTTAATCAGAAGCATTTTTAAAATTTGATTTTTATTTTTCTGAGTGAGTTGCCTGTGTATTTTACAGGCTTTTCATAGACAGGCATCCTAGACATTAAGTTTCCCTGCCTGTGATAATCAAATTACAATGAAAAGAATACTTTGGGGTGTAGCCACCAGCTGCCCTCCTGCCTTGGGCATCATTCTTGATCTCATCAGTGTTCCCAGATACTGGGCTGGCACATGGCAGTGTTAACATCAGCTGTAAGATAAGGAGGCAATTCCTTGCTATCTTTCCCAGGAAAGTCACCTATTAGTGCCTTTATGCAGAGAGACTACTGAAATAAGTGCAGGGTGATACAGTTTTGGGGATATTTTGGCTATATGCAAAATGCTGTCATATGGAACAAGGGTTTGTAATGAAAAGGGCTCATCTCAGAAGAATATTATCTGGAGATGGAAATGGCCCCTATGGAAAGCAAGTGATATCCTGTTCCCAGAGCCTGCTGGGAATGCTGATTCCCTGCAGACAGGGCACAGGGAAGTCAGTTCACTCCCTGCAACTCTGCCTATTCCAGGGAGCAGCAGAGGTGACAAGCTCATTGTCTCTGCTCTCTGTCTCTGCTCTCTCAATTGTTAAATGTGGGAAAATAGGTGGTTCTCAAAGAAAAAAAAAAACAAAACAAAACAAAACAAACAAACAAACAAAAAAAACCCAACAAAACCATCCATCAGAGAACAAGGCAACTCTTTGTGTCAGTGTCAGCCTTAGAGAATGGAGGAGTCTCAGGTACCAGGAAGAAGCCACAGTGTTTCCCACCTGATTCCTTGAGGCCTCAGGCCACATCTCCCCTGGTCAATAATAATAATAAATTCGGAAGAATATGACTGACTCAATTCACCCGTGGGATTAAACAGAATCACACATCAGTCTGTGAGCTTTTGCTTGTCCTTCTCCTTCCCAGCAACAGAATACCTTGTGTTCTCTTCTGGACTCCCATCAGGGCTGCAAATTCATGGAGAACACTTGTGGAGCCAGGCAGTATTTTATTCCCATTCTAAGGGCTATGCAAAAGTGGAGAGAGACACCAGCAAGCACTGTCACATGTGCTTTGGTGGCTGAATAGTGTGTAACTTTCAATATTGTGGATATTCTGGAATATTCAGTAGTAGTGATCTGACACGTTTCTCAACTGCTATAGCCAAAAAACTTTCACCCACATCAACTGTTATAACACTTTTGAACCCTAAACCACATTCAGCTTCTCTGTTGTCCTGTTGTTCTAGCTGAGGTTTAGCATGTTAATCAGATGATCAAATATAGCCTTGAATTTCTTCAGGAGGGATCTGAAAATGAAACAGAGAACAGTAATATAAAAAAACCAGTGTTCGCATGCAAAAGTTTCTACATGCATTAAAAAGCACATAAATCATTTACGAACAGCTCAGTTCAATCATTCAATAGAATGTTCTGCTTCCAACATCCTTCTGACCTCATTCTGATTGTTTTAAACACACACAGTCAATGCATCTTCATTCCAGTTTTAAAAATAGGTTTCCTGATACGTCTCTGTTCAAACAAATTACACAATTGTAAGTTTTCCTGTGTAAAGACCATCATTTGGTTTGAATTCAGACAAGCATTCACAGCTCTGACTCCCTACATCAGTCAGGAAACTAATCTTAATTCTTTTGAACTCTCAAGCCCGGGATTTAGGAGCAGTGACACTTTCTGGCTGGAGATGCCACATTTCCTCTGATGCAATGGAGTAGGTAGAGTTGCAATGTTCAGCATTTCCCTTTAAAAACCTCCTCCTGTTGCCAGTCAGAGCCAATGGCTCCTACAGGCACAGAGCAGAGGAAGTTCTGTTCCATCCTTCTCCTGACCCAGGTTCTTGCAAATGAACTCTCGGAGAGGAGCTGCTTTTGAATGAGCCACAGGAGCCATGCTGAGTTTATTTTAGTTGGGTTTATATTAGGTCTGATTTCTGCTGATCCCTTCATTTTTCATCATTTCATCTGTCTCTTCCAATTGTTCCCGTTGGAGAGGACTGTGTTTGGGGAGTTTCTGAGCCAGATTGCTGTGCCTGCACATTGTTCATCTCTGCGCCCTCCCTCCAGGCGTTCTCTCACCTGTGCCTGCCTGTGTCCACACCTTCTCAGACATTAACTCTGCAAACTGCCCTGAATAGCTTCACATTGGCTTCCTTTGAAGCTTGAAGTGTAGCAAAACCCCAGAGAGCTGTTACTGCTGCCTAACGAGTTCATAGCTGCATATTCTGTTTAACACCCACGGCATCTGAATTTGAACTGGGAAGGACTGGTTGGGAGTGGGTGGCCAGAACTTCACTTGATGGTTAAGGGGGAATATAAGGTGAAAGTCATCTGCTGAAAAATAGAAATATGGTGCAAGCCCCAATAATCAACACTGCTGTTTGCCTTTACCGCTCAGAAATATTAAAACAGATTATTTTAATGATACCTCAAAGTGTCCTTTTGCAGTCTAAAGTACATCCTCTTGGATGTGCTTTGAGGCTGGATGAGCAACTCACATTCCAGATACCTTCATTACAGCCAGCAGTGCTGCTTGACACGGGCAATTCCTGCTGTAAAATCAGCCTGCTTTCTTTCAGTGGATTATTTTTACATAGACTTCTTTCAGATTTTCATTTATCAAACACTTTATGTACTTGGTGGTTCTCGAGCAGTGATTTGCTCGCGAGCTATTCACCAGAACTCCCGCTTTGAGCTCTTGCCACTCATTAATGTATAGTTTTCCTGTGGAACTGGCCATCCAAATCACATGGTGGCTTTGCTTTCCCCTGGCTGGATGCCTTCCAATCCCACAGAAAGCTTTCTAGGGGCTCCAGTATGTCTGGTGATGGCTGTGAGATGGCTTCTGGCAGCAGTGTTAATGCAAACGCATATTTGAGTGCGTTCTCATGACATATTCCAATCCTGTGATCAAAAACGTGCCTAAAGACATTTTCAAGGGGGGAAAAAAAACTAACTTGGGACACTGTCAAAAGTGCATTTGCCTTTACTTATAGCAGAAAAATTCTCACAGTTTGGTTTTGTTTCTTTCACTCTCAGCCTCAGATCATCGGGGGCAAAATAATCACGCTGGAAATCCTGGAAATAGTTCATTGGAACAAAAGCGACCTCCTGACATCAGGGCATGGCATAATTCCACACAAGGGGAATGGCATGATGATTTTTTTGCATTTGTGCACGCTCACCTCTAGTTCATTTTAAAAAATAAACCCACAAGCAGAGTAGAGGTGTGCTGCCACTGAACTTTGGGAAGTGAACAAATGCAGAATAAGCAGAATTCCTGAGTGTGCAGAGAACACAAGTGCATTAGCAGGAAGGCTGAGCTGCTGCTGAATCCAGTAATTCAGTTCACCTGATGTTCATGTTCTCCCTCTCCACTGCTTTGGAGAACAGATCTGAAACTCATATATATTAAAACTGCCAGCACAGTATTTTACTTTCACCTGTGCAAACCTGCCCCTACCAGAGCAGTTCCACTTGTTACAGACACAGGAAGGGTGACACAGAAAATTGTACAGTCTTGCCTGGTG